TCCCAAGCGTCCTATCCATGTATTCATGTAGTCACTATCTTCGTGGGATTCGCAGAAAATGTGAATTTCGCGCAGATTATATGGTAGGTTATTTTCGAGCATTGCATACAATTGTTGAATATTTCTACTGTAAGAAAATAGCGTAACCATTTTCTGACTGATTTGTAAGATATTATCTTGACATTGTGAAATATTATTGATTTTTTCCACGAACTTTAAGGATTGCGCATCGCGTACAGGAATAGCTATGCTGGGTCCTCTCATCTCATAGAGTAGAAGAGCCCGATAACTAGCTGTTGCATAGACAGGATCAAAATGCACATCATCGACTGTGGGCATCTGAAAAAAACGAAAAGAAAAGGAGATATTGTTGCAAGAAAATCGAGAAGCAATTTAGGAGAACGCTTTCAATATTATGTAAGAAAATGACACAGTTTTTTTGCTTTTAAGAACATGTCTTTCGCTTGTATGACACATTGATGAGTACGACACTCCTCTCCGAGTTGCCCATAATGAGCAATGAGATCGTAAATCAGTTGCAGGCGTAAATCGTCAGGATTCATAAAAGTTGCCTTATCTTTCGATGTTGAATTTGCAAAAAAATACAAAGATTTAACATTTTTTAAATCTCGAAATCCAGCTGTCGTCAAATTGGAATAATAAGCATCAACAATCAAAAACACATTACTCTCTTTTTCATTAGCCAACAAGTACAAGTAACATCGATGTTCATCATGGAAAGTTGAGCAACTGGAAACGATATCTTTGAATTGTTGTAATATTTGTTGAATATTATGATCACTTTCTCCTTTTCGTTTCAGCAAAATAAGCATAGTCGCCGGACATTCATATGATTTTCCAGTATTTTCTTTCTTCATCACTTTTTGATGTGCCTTTCGAACTTCGTCATAAATTCGATTGGCTTGCTCTTCGAATCGTTTTGCTATGATAAAATCACCTAATTTCTCATATTTTTGTGCTTCTTGGCAATAACATCGATAAATTTCATCAACCAATTGACAGACCAAGTCTTCACTGGTAGAAAATTGTTGCCGTTGATCAGCTTCATATGGATTATGTTCTAGTATAAAAATTTTGTTGATTCGTGGCGACAACTTTTCCACTGAAGAAACACATTGACGACTAGAAAAGAGTAGAGTGGTCTTATCTGGAAGTTGATGAAAATCAATATCAGATTCATTTTCAAAAATAAATAGAGAATCGATTGTCAATGGGCAAAGTGCATTCAGCATTTCCGAAGCCAATTTGCTTAAACGTTTAGTTAAATCAACAAGAATGAATTGCACATTGGTCAGAGAGGCTATAATCAAACTTAGCATCTTTCACTTTTCGAAGAGTTTCAACACTTACCTAACGATCCTGTTGCCTTGGCATTCAATCTTTCTTGTAATTGCGATAAAATAGGATGACGCTTATCATGCGCATGTAACTTCCAAAGGGTTTCATAATAAATTAGTGCTAATTCATTTTTCTCACATTGCTCTAAAAGGCTGCCCACCATACAAAGATTTTTACTTTGTCGAAGCTTAGATTTCATATCATAGATGCAATTCTTATCTCCATCATTATCGAGTGTTAACTGAAGTATCCAACTAGAGTCGGTATTTAGTGTCAACCTTTCGATGCGAAATAGTGAGCCACACATGAATAGAATATCTTGCTCGCTTGAATGTTTGACCAACGGATTCATATCACTCACAAAAGCAAATGATGATATGTTTCGTTCGTTACATGCATTTATTTCAAGTATAACTGTTTCCCATGAACTTTTTTCCGGAGTTTTTAAGTCCACTATGGGCGTTTGAGTCGAAGCAAATAGAAAACCGTTCCAGGATAAATAATGATTTCGATTCTGTTGTATGTATTCCAATTGTGAGCGCAGCATACGATGTGTTTTGTAGCAAACCAATGAAGGAGGCGATTTGTTGTTCATTTGCGCGTGAATATCTCTGAGAAAGAAGCGAAGAAGAAAAAGCATGGAAATATTTTGTTCGCGTAGTGCCTTATTCGTTAAACGTGCCAGTGGTGATTCCTGTACGAGCCACAAGACTCCTGGACTTGACTGATATGCTTCTTGGAATTCATCGATCAGCGTTAGTTCATAGTCATCGTCTAAACTCCATTGACGTAGAACTTCGAGAAGTTCAGCGGATGAACTCTGAAATGGCAAGTAGTATGGTGAAATGAGAATTTCTAGAAAGAGTGGAAACCATAAGAATGCAGCTCGTTTCGAATCAAAATCATGGGTATAAGAAATGTCTTCGGGTATAATCATCATCATCATTTTCGAATCTTCTAAACATTCAAGATCTTTGTGATGTTTTTGTATGTCTTTGAGAAGATCTTCGTCAGTACTGGCGATGTAACGTATTTTCGAGTACGATCGTGCCAATACTTCTCTATGATTGGAGTCGGATCGAAGTACACAAATACTAATGATGGATGTTAGATTATGAATCTTGGAAAAAAATTCATTTCCTAGATGACTAGGAACGATTAAAATGATCTTTGCATCGGCTGGTTGTCTTCGGATCCATTGTTCACATGATTCACCATCTCTGAATGTTTTGAAACTCAACGAAATTCGTCGTAAATATTTATACATCGATTGATTTCTGTGTTTGAGAACCATGCTGGGATCGATCCAGACAATTTGAAATGTTTCAAATCGTTGTGCTTTGATTCTCAGTGGTGAAATAGGAGTCGTTGAAGCTTTTTCAAGACTGGAGTTCGACGATGATTTTTCGACCTGCACGAAGGCTGATGAAGAATATTCATTCCCCATTGTTTGCAATTTAGTTGTGTTTTGTTAACATTAGAATGCAGTTGTGCGCAGAAAAAAAGAAAATGAATATTTTTCGTTTGTTTTTTTCCTAGTCGAAACCTCTATATGAATGAGAGTATCGTGAAGAATGATGCAAGGTAAGTAGCTATTCTGCTGAAGTAAACTTTTTTTTTTTATGTTCTCGACAAACATTCACTTGCAGAATTAATGCAGAACCGAAAAATTTTATCTTGTGAAGTAATAAGATAAGAAAAAGAGTACGGACGACTTTACATCATCATAATAACGTCGCATAGTGTCAATTTCTCTTTACTTTAAAAAATACGTTGCACCATTTTTTCTACACGAGAATTTCTTTTTCTTTTTCCTTGTGTAAATATGGAGGAATTAGGATGTGGTTGAGTAAGAATGTGCGTCAATCAGGGTGTGGGTGTGTAGGTGTTAGATGTATATGCACACCCACACCTGCCCCTAAACTTACAGCTCACGTGCACCCTTACATCCAATACCCACACTTCACCCCACGCTCAGTGAACTCTACAGTTTCATATGTTCTAAACGCATATATTTTATTTGAATAGAAAACAGCATGGAACAGATGATTTTTAAAATGTGATTTAGATAGACATGTGCACACGCAGGCAGATGAAAAATCAGTGAATTAACATCGTTACGTATTATCCTTGCAATCTAGAGATTAAGTAAAATACAAAAGATAAATAAATCGCAAGAAAAATTGATTCTAGAAGGTGATTTGTTTTTGCCATATTTGTTTGTTGGCCAGTATCTTGAAAAGTTAGCATACAATGCTGCAACTTAATATCAAATCGTTCGTTATATTGTCGTTGGCATGAATAAAGTTTTTCTGAACCAATTTTATTCAAGAATTCAGACAAAAATATGTCTGAATTAGTTTCTGTGCATATTGTGTAATTTACTAGTCCACTAATGTTTGGTAAATACGTTTCCACATCGATCATGCCTTGACCATAGAATTGATGAGAATCAGCCGACAGAATATAAAGGGATTTAACTTTTTGTGTTCGAAGACAAAATCCTTGACTATTATTTGTTTGCATTTGTACCATAAACTGAGCGGCACTATTGTCCCACCTATAAAAATAGATACAAAATGATCAATCGACCTTTTTGTACATCTATACACATAATGTTCAGTCTATGTGTTTCTCTGTGCCGGGTATATGGTCAAAGGTCAAATAAAGCTATAAGGAGAAAGCCCAAGGGCTTTCCTAGGGAGGACCGACAGACCCTCAAGAGCTACCCTATGGAGGTACCCATAAACCCTCAAGAGCTATTATATGGGGATACCCATACACTGTAAAAAAAAATCGGTACTTTCCTGAACCTTCCAAAAAGGTTTCGTAGGTATCTAAAAGCTTCCAAATGCGTCCAAACGCTTAAAAAACGATTCTTAAAATCTACGAAATCTTAAAAGGATCTTACCGCGGATACACGGTCCGAACCATCTCTTACGAAACCTTTTTCAAGTTCCGTACAGCGAAAAAGGGTTTCGTAAGAAAATACGAAACCTTTATAGTTTCATAGTAAACCTTATGGCTTCGCACTATGGTTTTATTCGAAACCATTATATTTACTACGAAACTATAAAGGTTTCGTATTTTCTTACGAAACCTTTTTTCGCTGTACGGAACTTGAAAAAGGTTTCGTAGGAGATGGTTCGGACTGTGTATCCGCGGTCAGATCCTTTAAAGGTTTGGTAGATTTTAAGAATCGTTTTTTAAGCGTTTGGACGCATTTGGACGCTTTTAGATACCCACGAAACCTTTTTGGAAGGTTACGGAAAGTATCTATTTTTTTACAGTGTAGGTCCTCAAGGGCTATCCTATGGAGGTACCCATAGACCCTCAAGAGCTATTATATGGGGGTACCCATAGGTCCTGAAGGGAGTACGGCAAGAAGAGGGTAAGGCAATAAGGGGATAATGCTACAAGAGCTACCAGGGATATAAGGCTATAAGGCCGAAGGCTAATGGACTATAAAAATATGTGCGATGTAAGAGTATGAGACCGTTGTGCTACATATCCATATACATAATATCGAGTGTCTGTATGACCGTTATCGGATGAAAAGTTAAACATCTGTCGTCATACGTTAGAGGAAAAGCAAACAGTCGTGCAGCATGTACGGGCTCTCGCTAGTCAAAAAATAAAACTTACCACTTCATGTTAGACTCAGTTTGATTTGTACATTTTGCAAGTGATGATATAAAGCTCAACACGAAGGGTTTCAATTGAATATTTAGTTTTTTCAATGTTTCGGTCAGTTGTGTCAAGTTGACTGGCATCGTATCTTGTGTGATTAATGGCATAGCAACAATGTTTTTTATTCCACTCATACCAACACGTTGTACAGCAAGTATATCTAAATCAAAAATTCTTCAAGTATTCGACCTTTGATGAAACACACTACATATTTCTAATAATTTTTTTATAGCAAAAATAATTCATAATACTCAAAACTCTGCAACTCAATAGCTACTATTCATCAATTAAAGTAGAATGAGAAATGTGAAGCGTGATGTGTAGCTTTTTTCTTTCCACTTTTCATAAAAATCGATTTGCATATTCTTACATGCAAAACGACATGAAAAAAAGTATATATATTCACCTAAGTAGGCATTCGGACTACCGTCTGTCGTTTCTTCACTATACGGATAATTAACTATTGTCAAGTTTGGTACAAGAGATGGGTATGAATTTATTGATTTGAATTGACCACCTGAAAAGAAAAAGTAATATTGTAAATATTTGTTGACAAAATTGTTTCAAATATGAAAGTATTCTCACCAGAAAAATATAGTGTGCCTATTTTTGATATAATTGATCGATCTTCACTAATAGCTGTAGCAATATTTGTCATAGTTCCAAGAACCAAAATATCAACTGGTATTTTTGAATATTTCAATGATAATTTTATTAATTCAATCGCACTAAACGGAGATGGCTGAAGAAATATATTTACCGATTGATTAAGACAACTTGCCGCCGTCATATATGAATCTATAACATCCAATAATGATGATGGAATGACAAAGCCGGACGACATTAATGGAAGACTGTAACACAAAACGAAAAAAGATTAAGCCCATATAAATGGCATGTTTATACGACTTTTACTTTACTCCATAACCAACGGCCACACTATTTGAACAGCCAATCAAATCGAGAAAGGTAAGAACATTTGATCCGGAATAAAAAGGTTTGCTTAATAAAAGAAAAATAGAGATAAAATTCAATCAATGTCAGCTAAACGTGAAACTACCTGTATCCATTGCCAACGGTTGTTATTGCAAGGACATCAACAGTTGGTACCTTTAACACCGATTATTACAAAGACTTTTAGAATTTGATCTTTTTTGAAATTCATACTTACATTAAGAATATAATGAATTGCCCATAAATCATCTACGTCTGTGTCTGTATCAATAATTACTGGCTGCCGTTTAATATCCTGATTTATACAAAGTTCAATTTGCTGTTCCGTAAATGTCAATGCACGACTATAAACGTAACAATTGTTGACAATTATTGAGAACAATGATGTTAATAAAATACTTCGACCTGTCATATGTTCTCTATATTACAAACAAGCAAAATATTAAAGAAACATTAATCCAATGGTTATTGATCAAAGGATATTCTTATAGTCGGGATATATTTTTAGAGAAACTTTTTTTCAAGCGAAAACAAATGCGAAAAATGCTCTAAAAGGATACATCTAACTTTATAAATTTATTAGTCTCCATTTATCATTTTAGTTAGTCAATAGAATATCTTGTCGTACTATTTCAACGTTTTGCTTATAATTAAAGTATTTTTCCTGAACGGTCACTAGTATCCCGCACGAGTACAACTTTTCGTTTGTGTTTCATAGTTAATAATATTCAGTTTAGTTATATAAATAAATAACAAAAAAAAGAAAGATAGTATTTGAAATTACACACGAAATCGAATGAATCAAGCGATTTACTATACAGTAATAGTCTCACTCGTTCTAAGCTTCTGTTCGTATTACTTTTTATACTATTTCGTCTCGATGATGACACTGATACTAAAAGCAATATCGATGCTAAACATAGCAAATGCAGATATACATATATCACATACACGGAAAACAAAGGTGCTATACGAAATCTACAAGAAGTTTCGAGAATTGAAACAAACTCGAAAAGCTTTTTAAGTTTTGTAGAGAAAAGATTTCATAGTTGAAATTACTTCTCACGTTCAAGATGAAACCATTTAGCCCATGTATATCTTCCTAATAACTGTTTCTATCCACGTATAACTGTAGCTAACGTTTTAAATCGACATGCACATAATTCATTATATCTATATCAATTCCCTCATCTATATTGATGCCTTATTGTTTCACGGATATTGGATTTGCTATACATATACGTATATAGACTATTCGCTGCTCGATTTATGAAATTGAAATGAACACATGTAGTATTCTCTAAACTAACTTGAGCGGGACAAAAGTCATAGCAAACCTATAGATTTAGTGACTCATGACATTCAAACATAGAGAACCGTTCAACGGATAGAAATTCCTTTTCTTCCGGCAAAATGGAAAGGTCTCAAGGATTTAGCGAACCATAATTGATTGCAATATTATCTGTATTTTTGTTATACTGCATCTAAAACAGTGATTGGATATTCAGTACAGTACGTGGTACCTATCATACTTGAGGCTTGGGCTCAGTAGCATTACTATTGTACATATGTAATTAAAGTGATCTATATATTGAGGATCTTTTCAGAACTTACAATGCTGTTAAATTCAATAAAGATCGAAAAGATGAGACATTTATTTTGGAGAGACAGAGATGTTTTGTTTCTTCTATTGTCATTACTTGAAGATCTAATTCGAACGACAAACCTGGCACAAACCGCTTCTTTTTCTTAGATATAATATATCTATTTGTGCTAAAGGCTTTTCTACAAGTACTAATTAGGCAGAGACAGACTTGATTCCAATTTTCAAAATTTAATGAAAATTCTGAATCAAAAGTGACTGCACATGGAAAAATATAAAGCATACATGTACTAATATAGTGTTCAAATGTAAATGAAGAGTGAATGATAGATAGGGAATTTCGTTTAGTACCATTTGTCAGTGTACGATGTAAAAATAATGGTATCAAAACGTAGATACTTATATACCGTCCTAAATATGTGTTGAAAGGTGAATTTTTCAAATCAGTTGATAGAAAATCTCCTTCTTCTTTTTCGAAGTATATATGACTTATTTTCATCATATAGTTATAAAAAAACGCATGAGAAGAAAGAGAGGTACACACAAAACAATAATGCATTTTTCATAAAATTCAAAATAACGGAACAAATGTCGACATTTATATCACTTCATCAATGCATATTGGAACGATAATTTTTTATCATCTAATAAAAAACCTTCTTCTCTTTCAAACTTTATATGATTTGTTTTTGTTACGCTTTCACCCTCACAGAGACGAAAGAAAGAAAAATACTTGTACAGAAAATATGAAATATTTTTGTTCATTGATAAGAGAAATCTTGTATAAAACAAATACTCCGAAATCAATGATTTATTAATATTCTTATCATTAACTTTTTCACATCGACAATGTTTGCTGATGTTCATCAGCATTCTCGGATGGAAATAATAATTAGTAAAGGATTGTTAACAGTGAAGCACTCAGCTAACTTGCATTGATTTATACTACTACGATTATCAATATATTCCAGTAGTTATATAAAGTTCAACAACCAATATTTATTAGACAACCACTTTTTGATAAAATTTATGTTCAGTTATATTTGAGATACTAGATCAAAATATCATACATTTTGTTTTCTAGACTATTTCTTTTGTAAAAGCATTAACTGCTGATTTACAAGATTTTTCTTGCAAGTTACTAAAAGAAATCGAAAATGTCGCTTTGATTGTGAATGTGTAACAAAACAAATCATAAATAGCTTGGAAAAATCGAAAATTTTCCATAAGTTAACAAAAAAAATCATTGCTCCAACATGTGCTTATGAAGATCTATAAGTGTTGGCATTTATTTCGCTATTTTAAATTTAATAAGTCGTATGTACTGCGAAAGAAAAGCAAATTTTCTATGAACTGCTTAATAAAAGTTATTTTTTAAGAAGTATTAATGAAGGGCCTTAAAGACCGATACTTTTTTGCTATTACTTTTGTATCGTATATTATATACGTATATATATATGATGACGTTTTCCATTGTAGCGATACATTTTCATCTTTTGAATAACTAATTATATTTCTCATGTGTCAGATGACCTTATTATATAATTTATCATAATGAATATTGAAAACAATCTATGTTTTTAAATAAGTCAGTTATTCTTAAGTATACTCATCGGTTAAGATATGATCGAACTCTTTATCATTGTTATGTTGAGAAACAAATAATATAACAAGAATACAAATTCGTCGAAAACTAGCAAACAACTGGACGTGATGTAGTGATTTAATAGTTTTGGACTGCTCTGTATAGAAGCCAAACAATGCTTCATTGACGTGCATACTTTCTCTTTGTTTTTGTTTGTAAGAAATCATTGTGTTGTCATAGGAAGCACTTGAATAACTGATTCCATTTGTGCAACAGAAATACAAGAAGCAGTTGGTGAATGGCGCATTTTTCAATTCTTAACAGTTGTGTTTTTTCCAACTTTCGAAAAAGCGGGCAACATCAATACTGAAATGACGCAATCTGGAATTTGCATCAGTTGATAATAATACAGTTGGAAAGTTGCTGAGCATAAAATTACATCTTCGAGACGCTACCACTTAAAGTAACAAGCGAGGCTGCTCACACGTACTTTTGAGGAGTTCCCACTTCCACCTCCAATTTTCACCTTGTTTCTACTCTCAATACTGGAGAGTGAGTTGTATTTTATATTTAAAATGAAGTCGCAAATAGAAGCTAATTTCAAAAATGACATCGTCGAGTCCACTGCATACTAATTAAGGATGAGTAATTATTATTTACAAACTAATAATTGCTAGTTATAAATCATTATTATGTATTAATTATTACGTATTAAACTTATGATAAGATATAGTTGTGGCTTAGAGTTAATCTGAAACGTTTATGGTTTCTTTTCGATTTTTGAATCTAGAAGGTCTGAATTTTAAATCACGCGATAGAGGAAATCCATCTAGTGAAAAAATTTTTCTTATAAAAAATGAGAATCATTTCTTCTCTAATAGGACTAAATCATGAAATACTCATATATTAAAAATAATGAAGACGAGTATATCTTATATTTTTTCCAGAAAAGTTTACACCATTTAAGATACACATATAACTCTACAGAACACATTTTTTTAAATATTTCACGTTTTATATTGAAAGATTTAGTATGTCTGGAACGAATCGTCGCCACTGCTTAAAAACTGATATGCTTAGAGTGATCTTGAGACGAAATCCTATAATTGTATTGATTGTCCGCTTCAAAAGTATTGTTATTGGAACGTAGTCTATTGTTATGAAGAACTTCGCATCATTATCAAGATGACTGGTAAGACAAAATTGGACTCTATAAATGAATTACACATGTAAGATAACTATATTTGTTCGATGCGTTGATAGGCGACCATTCTGACGGTGGTCCAACAGCTGGATTAGTCATTGGATGCTTCGGTGCCGTGTGCTTAATGATAATTAGCCTGGTTTTGTTCATTCGGGAGCTTTTCAAGCCAGGTAACAAAGTGACAACCAGCTCAGGTAAGCAAAACACAAGTAGAAGATCTGGTTGCTTTTCTAGTCATGACAACATAACTTATCTATTTTTATCTGAAAAAGTTCTAGTTCATAATTAGTCTGAAAATTTTTAGCTGTCATCGATTCTCATCTTGACTGAGTGACTCACGAGTATCACTGTATTTATTATGCCTAGTCTTATTTAGAGAAAAGATTCATCTAAAACGCTTCCAGAATCAATCAAGGTCAAATCAGTTCTCAAATCACGCACGCATCATATATCAGATTTATTTTAGGCAAGGACTAGATACGATAGGTTCTGGTGATACTCATCGTTTACAGAGGTGACGGACGAATCTGTTGACGAATAAAGTTTTGAACCAGTCAAGTACTAGGATTTTTTTCTCAGAAAAAAACTAATTATCGATTGCGACTCTATTTTTGAATATGGACCACAGTTCTCTTGGATATAGGAAATCGAATAAAAGATGTATAAATTTCTTGAAAGCTGCTTCATATAAATTGTATGAAGAGAATCAGTCAAAAAGGATGTACCTT